AGGTCCGCATCATGAGCACCAGTCCTCAAGCAGCCCAAAGACCCAGAACCCTTGAGCTGTGCCTGTGGTGGTCGATGGGGTCCCTCATTCCCCATTCACTCCCCAGCGGGGGGAAGCTCGTCAGGATCTAACCCCCATTACCAGCCCAAATGAGACAAGCATCTACCAGGAGAGAGCAAAGGCCACAGACGCCTTCCTCTGCCCCCGGGGAGACTCACCATCTTTTGGCCCATAGAACTCTGCCACGACCGGCTTTAGGCTGTAGGGCTTCAGGCCGGCCTCGAACACCAAGCCCGCGTCCAGTGTCACAGCATCAGCTTCATCGTCCTGGAAGAGACCAGACCAGACTCCAATGAAGCCCTTACGTCCGAGGAAGGCCTACCCATACTTGGGCACATGGGGGTGACTGGCAGGGCTCCCTGGATCTGGGGCCGAGACCTCACACAACACCACGGGCTTCAGTTGACTCTCCCTCCCTGGTGAAGGGGATTTGGCCACCACGTTTTTACTCCTCGTGCAGAGAGGAAGGAATGGCTCATTTTTCTCTTTTCCCTGGTGAAGAGTCCAGCTCTCGGCCCAGAAAACTATGTGATTTTTCAAGATTGACCTGAATTACAGAGGCTTTACCAGCAGGCCTCTTGGGGGAAACCTGCCCCCCGCCACCCAGCACCAGCCTGGGTGCAATGGCCAAGCACGACCGGCTCTGAGAGGCTGCGGTCAAGGTCTCGGTTCCCCCCCTTGGCCCTGCTCTTATGCAAGTTTACATTTCAAGCCAGGTGCTTGCCTTTGGTGACCTCCTTATCGTGGGCCTTCTGCTGAGGTCTTCCTCAGGCGCCTCTGTCGAGACTGCCTTATGGCGGAAGGGAGCCTTGAAAACACCCTTCTCTACTCTGATTTAATACCCAGTACTTTTCCTTCCTGCCCTGGGTCCACATAACTGCAGGAGTCTTTTGTTCAGGGATTGCTGCTGTCTCTGGGTTTAACTTCTTTCTTATTTTCTGAACTGAGTGTTAAATGCTAATTATTACATCTATTATGGCTGATGGTTCATTTGATCAACTACTCAGACGCCACTGTCCAACTCAGCTGCATTTTACACATACAAAAATAGAGGCACAGAAAGTTTAAGTCACTTCCCCTGGCCACAGAGCTAGTAAGTCATGGGGCTGGGGTTTGAATCCAGGCAGTGTGGGTTTATTTCTTCCAATACACTGTTACTTGCTGGTTCTTTTGCTTTTGTTTTTAGTTTTTGCTTCTACTAATTCCCATCTTTAAACCAATAGTTCATTTGAAAGATTATAGATAACTTCCCACTATGTCTAGAATTTATCTTCTCTTAAAGTGAGAAACACTGTCTCTTTTTTTTTAGCACTGTCTTTTATATAGGCACTTAATAACATATTTTAATTGCCTTTTTTCTTGCTTCGAGTATCTTTAATCAGAATGATTTTCTTGAAGCCTTTGCTGGTACTCCATAAATAGCTCTTATTGATTTAAATTACAAGGCAGAAACTATAGCTCCACGATTTGTGTCCTGTTACAGGTAAGTAATAAAACAATACTATTTCTAAATGAAATAAAATAATAATGTAAGCCAAACTATATATTTGTCTAGCTGAAACTTTTCTTTCAATGGTTGAAATTGTTTCTGTCTTTTTGTTGTAATAAAGCGTATAACATAAAATCTACCATTTAATAATTTTTAAGTGTACATTTCAGTGCCATTGAAAACATTCACAACTGGTGAAGGACTCTCTTATTTCACAACTAGACTCCGTATATGACAAAATCTTTGTGTCTTTCTTGATATCTCAAAGGGTAGGTGAAATCTCCGGAGGCTCTCCTCACCCACCCCAAAAGGAAATTAGTAAACAAACAAGAGCTTTTTCTAGAGCAGTGAGGTTGGGGCTTTCTTGGTCCAGACACCAGGAGTCTGGGCAAGATTCACTGGGGCCTCAGGGGCTCCGGAACCAACGAGCCAAGTCCCAGCTCATGGGGTCCATGAGAGCAACAGAGGTTCCCAAGGGAACCCGAACCAGCAGGGAGGGGGAGGATTAAAATCACACGTGACCTCCCGGCTGCAGATAACCAAACCCACAAAGAGGCAGGCCACAATGCATGGACATCAACAGGAACAAGAGACTTGGGCCCCCAAGGACTGTGGAGGTTGGAATTGTCAGAAGCAATGAACAAGCGCTACAACGTGTGTACTTTGTGTGCAAAGTGAAAGCTACAATCATGGAGATAAGCACAGAGAAGGAAATTATCAGGGACAAAAAGAAAAGTTGTTTAAACTGGTGCTTCTAGAAGCAAAGCAATATAACTGTTGAAATAAAAAGTGAACGAATCAGCAACAAGTTGAGTAGACATGTTAAATTAAGAATTAGGGAACCGGAAGCGATACCTGAAGAATTTATCCTGGGTGCTGCTAAAAAGAGGTGCAGAGACAGAAGCTATGAAAGAGGGGTTAAAAAATATGGAAGCTAGATTAAAGAAGGCCTAACATGTGTCTTCTTGGGATCCTAGCATTAAAAAAAAAGAACTGAAGAAAGGGCAGTATTTAAAGAGATAATGCTGCAAATTTTCCAGGACCGATGAAAACCGTAACTCCAAAGATCTAGGATATTCTTAGCAAGATAAGTACCAAGATTTCATAACTGGAAATACCATAGTGAATATATGGAGCATCCTAGACCAAGGGCATGAACTCTCAGGGTTATCCTGAGAGAAGATGATTGAAGGAATAACAGGGTAACACCAGACTTTTCAATGACTGCAATGAAAATCAGGAGACAGTGGAATATGATTTTAAAACAGTATAAAAATGTCAAGCTAAAATTATACATTCAGAAAAATTATCATTCAAGAATAAGGGGACGATTAAAGCATTTGCAGACAAAACAAACAAGCAAACAACAGAGAGAGTTTAACACCAAGAGACTGACTCTAAAATAGCATCAAAGGAACATATTTCAAGAAGAAAACATATTCCAGAAGGATGGTCTGAAATATAAGAAGAAATGGTAAACAGATCAAATGGCAAAAACGTTAGGTAAATCCAAATCTCTCTTTCTCTCTCTCCTCCCTCCCTCTTTCTGAATTTTTCAGTATGTACACACACACATATTTGTATAGTATTTATATGTACTGTCAACAAATATATGAAATATCTACATTCCAGGGTTAAGAAAAGATAGACATAAAATATCAAATAGTAATATCTAATCAGGGAAGAAGGAAGTCTGAGTTACTGTATTTCAGTTTTTTTATTGTTTCAGAAGGGGACTCAGGATTATTTTACTGTAAAATTTGTTAAGCTAAAATTATACAGTAAAAATTGAAAGGAAATCATTAAAGAATATAAATAAATCATTTAAGTTTATTACCAGTGGGGGAAAAGAGGAATAAAGGGAGAACAATCTAAATGAACACACACATGTACAAACTCAATTTTTAAAAATCAGAAATTAGGGGGCAAGCAGGACTAAGAGAAATGAAAAAGTAATATGGCAGAAATAAGTCAAAATTTATCAATGATAATGATTATTATTGGTCTAAATTTACCATGTAAAATAAATAAGATTGTCAGATTGCATTAATAAACAAAATCCAGCAATATACAGTTTTCAAAAGAGACACCTGAAGGATAAACACATAGAAAGTCAAAAATAAAGGAATGGAAAAAGACTCAGTATTTATACAATGGAATACTACTCAGTCATAAAAAGAATAAAGTAATGCCATTTGCAGCAACATGGATAGATCTAGAGATGGTCATTCTAAGTGAAGTAAGTCAGAAAGAGAAAGAAAAATACCATATGATATCACTCATATGTGGAATCAAAAAAAAAGAAAAAAAAAGGACATTATGAACTCATCTACAAAACAGAAACAGACTCGCAGACATAGTAAACAATTTTATAGTTACTGGGAGAAAG